TTAATGTTAAAAAGATCCCAATGAGTCTTCTCCCTGAAAAGGATGGTGGTTCCGAAGACAAAAAGTATGTGCCTTTTTGAATAATTATTTCTCTTGAACGAAAAAAGCTAATGAAGTATAAAAGATTGTGATTGAAAGAGCGAAACTATGAAAATATGTTTACATAGAGACATGAAGGATGTTTGATCATGCTTTTCGTTCATTTTTGGTTTTAAAACATCAATCAACAAAATAGAATAATCACTATGGCAAATAACAATTTATTAAAACAAGAACAAAACTTACTTATAGAAAATGAATATTTAAAAAAAGAAAACAAAAACTTAGAAACTATAATCGAATGATGGTGTGTTGGCTTTAGTAAGTGATAGAAAAAATTATTTTCTTTATTTAAAAAAAAAAAAAAATTGTTAAAATGATTTTTTTTTTCATTAGAATTTTGTTGGGTCTCAAAAATGGCCACATGTTAAAAGTTTAGTATTAGTTGCAAATACAATTAAAGCAGTTTTCCCATATGTAAGGTGTTTCAGAGAAGGGTTACAAGAGGATGGTTTTTTTCAGAATATGGTAAAATATAAAAATTATAATTTAATTATTATAACCTATTTCTTTCTAGTTATTTCTAGCTATTTTTAACTATAAAATATAAAATTTGTTTTAGGTATTTTTTGCATCAAAAAAACCTATAAAGTTTCGCCCCCACAACAAAACTTGATTATTTAAATAGTGCAATGAGAGAATCTATGCTAGAACAATTTACTAATTGTCCAGTAAATTTAGATAAATTTTCCAACATAAAAGGTGTCATAACAAGTCAGCAAAATCCTTTGGATGATTTGCAACACTTGTCAGCTTTTGAACATTGTAATGTTATGAGAAATTTGTTTCCATTGGAGGTTTGGATAAATTATTGAAATTTAGATATAAATTTTGTGCATTTATGTGCGTGCATATATACATTGCCTGGAAGAAAGTATCCGAACCTCGATTTTTATTAATTCCACAAACTTTTACATAATAATAAAAATTTTTGAATCATCATGTAACTTAGGTTCTAACGAATATGTATGCAATTTCACAATTCTGGTATTTATAATAATTTTTTAACCAAAAAAAACGAACTTCGATTAAATTTGTGATTTTCATCCTCGAATTTTGTTTAAATTTGTATTTTCTCAAAATTTTACATAACGAGGAAAAAACCAAAAACACCATTTTGTAGCCTAAATTCTGAGATATAATTATGGAAAAAATTATTCTCCTGTCATTGGTAGAAAAATTGTTATTAAAAATAATCTGACAATAATAAAATCGATTAAATCAAAAAAAATTTTTAAAAATGCCAAAAAATTCCGAATTAACTGAAGCTGAGCATGGAAAAATTTTGGGTCTTAGATTAGGCGGTAGTAGTCTTAATAAAATTGTAAAGATACTTAAGCTTCAAAAAACTACAGTTTATGATACCATTAAACGTTATGAAAATGCTGAAAGCCTAAGAAGTGCACCAAGAAGTGGACGTCCCTGTGCATTAAATGTTAGTGAACAAAAAACTCTCAGAGAAATTGCATTAAAAAATAATCGCAGTTCTGCAGAAGAGATTCAAAGAAAATTTGTTGGTGTCAGTGGTGTTGAAGTGTCAGTTAAAACAATTCGCAAAAATTTGCATGAACTTGTGATGTTTTAATAAAATTTTGGTTTTTAGAAAATTTTTGATCATTTTATATTTTTTATATTAATTGAAGTTCGTTTTTTTTTTGGTTAAAAAATTATTATAAATAGCAGAATTGTGAAAGATTTTATACACATTCGTTAGAACCTAAGCTACATGATGATATTTTCAAAAAAATTTTTTATTATGTAAAAGTTTGCGGAATTAATAAAAATCGAGGTTCGGATACTTTCTTCCAGGCAGTGTATATTCTATTGTACTACTTTTAAATTGATTAACGTCACGCTGTTAAACGAAATTAGTTTTACAACGCAAACTATAGATACATTCAGTACTGTATGGTCTACAAAATAGAAATTTTTTTAAAAAAGTCATACACCAACATACAGTACACAGTACCCTACCAATCAAATGGGTTCTGTACTCGTAACATTTAATACAGAAATGCTGATTTGCAGATCATACAGGAATGCAAAAGTCGAAAGGATAATACTTTTCGACAACATTTCATAGATTCTATGAAATATCCAAATACACCGAAGCAATTGCATATGCTTTCCCGAAAGTGTGCTGTATTGCTTTTAGATGTGTTTACGAGGATATATCAGCACGAAATCAGTATTCTTTGAATACTAAAACTTCATCTAATGGTATTAACTCATACAAATTGCCATCTTTAGTTTACGAAATAACCAATCGTCACCTTCCAAGAGGCTTTGTTACTTCTAGGAAACCATCTAGAAACATTTTTTACAATTACGTATATTGTGATTACACTAACTATACTAATTTGAATAATTGTAGTGTATATACTCACGTGTGGACATGGTTATCACAATCATTGTCTACAAAGGTGCCGATCTAACTAAAAGAAATTATGACGAAAAGATTAAATGAAAATGAGTTTATCGAAAATAACGAAAATACAGTTGATGATGATCTGGGTAACGTTGAATCAGCAATAAATGATGTAACAATGGAAATTTTATTAGAACATGTAAAAAAACATTTTTTGGGTTGTAAATTTTGTTTTTATTAAATAAGTTTGTTTGTTTTTTTCATATATCATTCATGTTTTGTCTTAATCGTATATCTTAAATATTGGTTGTGTTTACAATCGTTTCATCGACATTCATTATATTAAGGTTATCTTGATTATATCGATAGATATGGTCAAGAGAAGAGAGTTATTCTTCAACCAAGTCGAAAACCAACCCTTTAAATACATTTTTGAGTAGTACAATTTAATTTATTAGACTATTTCAAAGTTTGCCACATGGTTGCTTCCAACTTCTTAAATTCAAACCATTTGTTAACGAAACAATTGATTGTTGACGAAATGAACCAAACCAACATTTATTTTTACATTATCTAATTCATGATTTTGATTGGTCAATCAATAATTGCATGGTGCTACCAGAACGGACTCTCCTGTTCGCTTATTATTATTATTATGATTAAATTATATAAAATATAATTAATAAAAAATGTAATTTTTTTAAATTGAATTTATATATATATATTTTATTTTTATTAATTTTTAATACAATAAAATTCGATGTGAAATGTTAAAATTAAATATAAAAAATCAAGATGTACATCGCAATGTAACAATGCGTTGGTAGGCTGCACATCTTGAATAAGGATGTGCAATGGTATATACCCCGTTTTACATCGCGATGCAATTTTATAATTTAAGATCCTGATGATCAAGATGTTTTTTTTTCTTATCAAAAATAATCAAAAAAGCAATGGTTTTAATAATTATAATCAAGCAACTGGTTCCAATTCTTCATCTTTGACAGTGGCAATGATTTGTTATTTGATACAGATGGACACATTTATATTAAAATAAATAGCAATATTTGTCAAAAAATAAATTGTTTTTCCAAAAAAAAAAAAAAAAAAATCAATTCGCGTCAACAAAAAAAACCCCTGTGCAACACCAAGTACCAATAATAAATAATTAATGTGTACACATCGATCAAAATCATCTTTTTTTCTTTTTAAAAAATTTAATAAAAAAAAAAATGCCACGTCAAGAAAAAAGAAACAGAGAAAATGAAGAATTTGAAAGATCGCCCGCCACTCATCGTCACTCTAGTTGTTGAAAAAGAATGATGGTGTTTATTGCCACTTGTTGTCATTCTAGTTATTTAAAAAGAATGGTGGTGGTGCAATATTGAAACACGTCGTCATTCTAGTTTCATTTAATCAATAAACTAGACAAAAGAAAACAAGAATTGAGGAACCTCGGCCGGCCAAATTGGAGCAGCTTGGTCCATAACGGGGTCTTTTTCCTCTAGACCCACGTATCTCTGTTGCATGGTGTAAAAAATACGATGTACCAATCACCAAGATTTTTAATAAAAGTCTCCGTGAAAAATTTGGATGGGCATTAGATGTCAATGCAGATAACATACTTAAATTTATTTTTATTATTTTATAGGAGTTTTAGCTGTCATGTAGTGATTTTTCATTTGGCTGTTTTTTTTTGTTTTTGCTATTTAAAGATTATGAATTTTGTACATTAAATTTATATATAATTTTATATTATAATAAACTTATCTTTTAAAGAAATTTCAAGTGACTAAATTATAGTGACTAGTTATGAATTAAAATTTATGTGCATTGATAGTTGTACGTGCAATGATGTAATTTTCATATCTCCCACTTGTGAACCAAAAAAAAAAATCATATCTGAATTCAAGGGTTGAAGTTATTTATAATTTTGTTTTGCAAATAAGATTGTAATTGTTCAAAAATAAAACCGGATCAAACATCTTTATTTTTACTACAAAAACTACCATTTAATCATTTCAAATTTCTTTAATATTAAAAAAAAAAGGTCTTTGAGCTAAAAAGAAAGGTAACAAGAGTAAATATTGTTTTTTAAAAAATGGTGGCTGTGCGCATTTTCGTCATTCTAGTTAATCGAAGTAAGTTTTAAGGACAAGATCTATGAACAAAATATAATAACAAACGTTTTATTAATTATTCAATAGTTTATGTAGGAGTAATCAAAGTAAGTTTTAAGGTCAAGATCTTTGAATAAAATATTCTAACAAACGTTTTATTAATTATTCAATAGTTTATGTAGGAGTAAACAAAGTAAGTTTTAAGGTCAAGATCTTTGAATAAAATATTCTAACAAACGTTTTATTAATTATTCAATAGTTTATGTAGGAGTAATCGAAGTAAGTTTTAAGGACATGATCTATGAACAAAATATTCTAACAAACGTTTTATTAATTATTCAATAGTTTATGTAGGAGTAATCGAAGTAAGTTTTAAGGACATGATCTATGAACAAAATATTCTAACAAACGTTTTATTAATTATTCAATAGCTTTATGTGGGAGTAATCGAAGTAAGTTTTAAGGACAAGATCTATGAGCAAAATATACTAACGAAGGTTTTATCAATCATTCAATAGTTTATATAAATTTATCTTTTATTTTAACTTATATTTAATAACATCACTATAATCATTATTTATTGTTCTAATCATTTATAGGAATAAATGTAAAGAAAAATTTTATATATTTAACACTTGACGATCTTCAAAAATCATGTGACTGTAAAATTTTTATTGCATTTTTGATAAGTGACTTGCACTATACGTACAAAGTAATCTATTAATAGCCTAACGTGTACGTAGAAAGAAGTCGAGATGTTTATTACTAGATTAAGATTTTTAACTTATATGCTTGTAATAAAAAAAGTAGAAGCTTGCATGTGTTATCATGGTGATACCAAACAGTCTAATTTAACATTAACTATAGTAAACGACATACAAAATAGTCTAATTTTAACAAAAAATGCTTTCGACAAATGTTTTCAACATCTATTTACTATTACGAAAAACCAAATTAACGTTGACTCATCTCCATTGACCCTTTTCGTTTAACAATTTCAATCCCTTGTATTCATTTATCAACGTTCCTGCCTACCTTCAAGGAATCGAAGCTGAAATCAAAAATGTCCATAGGAAGGAGATCAACTCATCACCACATAGAACCGACCAAGAGCAAACATATTTTGATCTATGGTCAAGGTGACCATAACCAGTTATCATTTTTTTGGAAAACGAAAATATTTCTGTTCAAATTTCAATTTTTATTAATTAATTAACAAAATTTCAAATCAATGCAAATCATTTCAAGCCAGCGCAGCAAAGAAAAAACAAAAGACTCATCACAAAGTTTTACCCTTTGATTTTGATCTTATCCTTCCCAAAAATTCAGTTTACTAAAGTTGAGAAACAGGACGTTTAGAATATTTGTGCTGATTCATGCTGATTCGTATCGTAACTGAACTGAACTGAATATTCTTTTTACAAAGTAAGAAACGAAACATTTGCCGTGTCATGGCCACCTTCCAAAATCAGTAAGGCGAGTGACCTTCGTGCAGGTTTCTCGCCGATTGTCTCCTTTTGCGTTTAGCCGCGCTTGGTCTTTTTGACTGTTGGCATGATCAATGCTTTCACCATATTTAGCAAAAATTGTGTCGTACGGCAAATGTTTCGTTTCTTAATAGATTCAATTGCAAGTGTGCATGCAATGCTTTGAAAGGTGAGGAGAGGCATGATCAATACTTTTTTTCCACATGATCGTGCAATAGTAATAAATATCTTTTTTTCCAACCAAAGAACTGTTTGGTAAGAATAAAAATTTTGTTTATTTTACATTTAAGAACTATTTAATTTCAATAATTGAATTCGGTATTGTTTTTTATTGTTTATTTATTTTATCATATATATACTAGAATAAATTTTTGGTGGTGAAGCATCTTTCTTTTTTGTTTAATATTTAATTAGTGTGATGAAGATCATACTGTTGATTTGTTTATTTTACTTTTATAAGAAAAGCATCATTCTATTATCAAAAACATTTTTACTATTGTTATCATTTGTCCTGATTTTTTTTTGGATTGTACCATTGATTGTTACTTTTTAAGAAAAGTATTATGCGTTTAGTTAATTGACAATTGAATTCACTAAAAATGCTAAAAAACATTTTGTCCTGTTTTTTTGGATCGTACCATTGGATTTAGAAAAGCATTATGTTTTAATTAGTTAATTATTTGTTTATTACTAAAAATGCTAAAAAACATTTTTTACTATTATTATCATATGTCCTGTTTTTTTTTTGGATCATTGATTCGTTTACTTTTAAGAAAAAAGCATTACACACTTACAATTGAATTTATTATTCGGTTACTTTTAATTATTTGACAATTGGATTGATTATTATTACTAAAAGTAAAAAGCGTCGTGCGCTTAAATTAATTGACAATTGAATGGATTATTCGTTTATTACTAAAAATGCTTTGATCAATCACGTCTATACGTTCATTTTGCAAAGCTGGATTGCAAGCTTCGTAAATCTTGACTTTAACACTTGCTTTGATCAAACCCGCCTATATGATTATTGAATAATCGATAAACATTTGTTTTGCAAGCTTCATAGATCTTGTCTAATGCTTACTTTGATCAAACCCGCCTATATGATTATTTAATAATTGATAAAGTGTTCATTAAATATATTTTACAAACAGCTTCATAGATCTCGACTTTAACACTTACTTTGATCAAACCCGCCTATATGAATAATAAAATGTTCATTTTGGAAAACTTGATTTGCAAATAGATCTTGAGTTTAGCACTTATTTCGATCGAACCTGCCTATATTTGAATAATTGATAAAACATTCATCAAATATATTTTGCAAACAACTTCACAGATCTTGCCTTAACACTTATTTCAATCACTCCTATACAAAATATTGAATAATTGATAAAATGTTCATTTGCAAAACTTGATTTTCAAACTTCTTGATCTTGTATTTAACACTTACTTTGATTGCGCCTATACAAACTATTAAATAATTGAAAAATGTTCATCAGTATATTTTACGGACTCCTTTGGAAGCTTCGTATGTCGTCATGCATCTTGTATTTAACAGTTATTTCCAAAAACTTGCCAACTATACTTTTTCTATTGAATTATTTTGAAATTTTTTTTTTTTATAGATTACGCAATAAAAATTATGGAATAGAATTTAAGACATGCAATGGCGAACCCACGTGACTCACCTAAATGTGTTATTAAAGTCCAGCAAATGAGAGAAGGGAATTCTTGCTGGTGGCTCATGCTGGATGTATTGTCCCTTAGTGACATTACCTCTCTCTTTTGTTGTTTATTTTTATTATTATAGCAACAAGTAGCAAACAACAATAATGAATCATCATTTTTGAGGATGATAATAAAGATTAAGATCCGACTTTTGTTTCATGAAAATATTTTCAAAAAAAAAAAGGGAGCAGCTGTCCTATTTACATAGTGAATCTCGATTCAGCGGACCCCAATTTAGCAGATACTAATTAAAAATCACAGTTTTACGGATAATGCTCAAAGAACGGTGCCATAATAAACCTTAATAAAAACCTTCTCGATATAGCAGATATCTCGGTTTAACGGATTTTTGGAAAATTTTCCTAATTACCCAACTTTGGATTTAATAAAATAGACTACTGTCTTGGCCCGAGTGATATCATTTTTTTGTTCTTTGCGACGAAGAAGATGCAATCCCAAATCCAAATGAACTTTTGTTCTCGCGTAGAACGGTGTGCGTAATTTGTAACACGAAAAGCAAAAGCTTGCATTGCGTTCTCTTGTTTATATATGTTAATAAAATGATAATAACAAATAAATATATATCAAAGACTCACTCATAAACCCATCAATTTGACGTTGTCTTTTTAATTATTTGACAGTTTTTAAAATCAAAATTATTTAATAAGTTTCTGTTACGCATGTTTAATTAAAAATAAAATTGTTCTCCGTTAAACCCAAAGTCCATAAATCAAGGTCCGCTAAACAAGATGCACCGTGTGGTTAATAACTTGGTTCTGTTTTAAGTCGCCCAAATATCATAAAAACTAGCACTAACGTATATTCAAATATGGTTTGGTTCTGTGACACCAATTTTTATCAATAATATATAAAAGGCATTTGCTTAAATTGAGTGTTTATTAATAATTTTTAAATGAAGATGCAAAGTTAAAAGCAGTAATGAGAGACGATGACACCTTACGTCATGCGTTGTAATCAGTCATACAATTTTTTTATATTAATCCGAGGCAAAGTATTGATTTTTAAATAAATTTAGTCATGTAACACGCAAAACAAAATGTAGAAATTTTTTTATTTATTAATATTCACCATATTTAATAGTGATACTAAACTAGTACTAGTTTCATTCATCGGAAATTATAACAACAACAGCAATAATAATAATAAAATGTAAAACTTTTAATTCTTATTTTTCTTTCTCCACTAAAAGAATTTCAAAAAAATATATCATTAATAATAAATATTTGTTATCTGATATTCTCTCCAAGGAATCACTGAAATAACAAAATGTACGTATTATTTAATATATAGAACATAAAGCTTACATAAAGAAAGCATTTTGAAACTTTATTTGGAGAAATTAATTGAATTAATTTGAAAAACGAAAAGATTTTATTTCACTGACTGAAGGAACAGACATTAACGACATTAGTAATACTTGATTTTCTTTTTTAATAGGTCTTCTGGACCATATGACCCATATTTACCTAAGGAAGGTACTGCTGGCGGCCCGCCTTCAAAAACTGTGGAAATCCAAAAACAAATCGATGAGACAGTAGGAATTATGCGTGATAATCTTAAAACTGTTGCTGAAAGAGGAGAGAGATTAGATACATTACATGTCAAAACTGGTAGATAATTTTATGTGAAAGAGTGAGAAAAGAATTTGTCAATATTAAATTATTAACTGTGAAAATCTTTTTTTTTTTGTAAAAATAGAAAATTTATCAATTTCAGCTCAAGGATTTCGTCGTGGAGCAAATAAAGTACGAAAGCAAATGTGGTGGAAAGATATGAAAATGAGAATTATTATTGCTTCTGCTATAATTGTTTTATTATTGATTATTATTTGTGAGTAATATTTAATAATGAAAAAATTATATATATTACAAAGAAAGTTTATTAATTTAAAACTTTTGTTTTTGTAGTGCCAATTGTTCTCAAGAAATAGTAATTCAATAATCCCTTGTTTCTTTCCCCATTCCTTTAATTCTCACCATTAACGAATAATTAATTAATTAGATCTTTATATATATTCAAATAATAATAATAATTTTTTTTATCTATATATTTTATTTCTTGTATGTATTATTAGCATATCATTTAGATATTATGCATCATTAACATATCACATGTATCATTTAAACATATTTTAAATATTACTAATAATAATATTGAATAATAATTAATTACATATTATTGGAGTTGGCCTTTTAGCTAATGTTGCAGATATTAAATGATTACTTCATCACCAAGATCTATGTGCTTCTATTATTTATATAGTAATACATGATATATAAATATATTTATTTATTTCCTGCAAGCTTCTACTTTTCCTTTTCCTTCATCTTGATTCTTTAGTTCTCTAGTTTATTATTAGTGGTCACTAGTTTATGTCTGATTGAGGTCCTGTATAACCAATTCCCTGCTTGTACTTGAGCTTATTCATTGGTTAATGTTATAATTATTCTGTCTTTTTGTTTGTTATTATTTTTGGCATCAGCCATCATCTTTGGGCTTCTTATTAATTATTTTTAGTCTTCTCTTGTGATCGTTGATTCAGACCAAGGTTATTATTGATTGACCTCTAATTCATAGGCTTGCTTTCCTATTTTACTTGGTCCTTTAAAATAATCAACAAATTAGAATCTTCCTTTTGTGAATTGTTCAATGAATGGACAATTATTGTGGATAACTTCATTGGTGGAGTTGATTTAAATGAATTTTGGATAAATATTCATGATCAATTGCGAATCCTTTCAAAATATATATGGCTGCCTATATCTAGCTGCAGTGTCAAAAGAAGTTTCTCCATATATTAATTTTTCATAAAGACCAGCAGTTTTTGATGCTGGAGGTTCAATTGAATGATTGTTTTGATTTTTATGCATGTTTCAAGGAAAAGAAAAAATGATAATTGATGTGGTTGGTTGAAATGTGTCAAGATAAAATTTGGGTTCTCAAAGAATGATTTCATGGTCCAAATTATTAAAATTTCCTTTTCCAAATACAACCTTTTGGCCCAAAGGATATGTTACAATGGAAATTCGGGATGGTTAGAGGGACTTGAAATTTGAATCCTGGCTCTTTGAAATAATAATAAGTCTACTAAAGCCTGTTGACGTTTCTTCTATGTTCAGTGTTTTGTTCCAAATGGTCACCATAAGTGAAGGCTTATAACTAATTGTAATATGTTATCATCAAATTTCCTAATGCTGACTGTGTTAGACTTATCAATATTTGTTATTGAAATTATGTACTTCTACATATTTATTTTACCAAATTATAAGCAAGTACCAAACAAATGTTCTGGTGCATATTCTACAAAAGTTCCGATTCAACTTCTGTAATTCTAAATATTATATAAATGGCATGTGTCCTAATGAACAATAAATTGCTCTAATAAATCTTAATTAGATTAGGCTCAAATCAATTGGTACATATTGATTTATATATTTCATAATATAACGTTGATTTTATTATTTCAATTATTTGAAATACTTCAAATTCGTCACATTTACTATTACTATAGGACCTCGGACAATTATAATTGAACTGGTATTGAGAAAAGTGGGTAGTGATCTCGTTAAAACACCAGTCAGATCTTCAAGCATTTACATAATAAAAATTGGGTTTTTAAAAAAAATGGCCCAAAAAGGAAACTTGCTAGCCATTTTTAGTAAGATATTTAGAGTATTTTTCACAACTTTTTATATGTTTTCTTACATACCAGTTCAAATATGATTGTCTGAGATCCTATTTATTTCACTTTATTGTCCATGCTACAAAGAATTGCTGCATATATATAAATTATTAATTATTAAGATTTAAAAAAACACAATATTAAAATGACAATTAAAAATAGAAAATTTCTTTTGAATATCATCCAAAGAAAATTTGGGCATACTTGATGGTTCTATGACATGAGTTAAAATATTCATAGTAGCAAGGTGTTGATTTTTTGTTTAATAAAGCTTCTTGACGATAAAAATTAAGTTTAACTTGAATTTCAAATGATATTAAAGTATCTTGAGAAACAGAATCAGCCATTTCGATTTGAAGCAAAGTAGATGTTGAAGCCTCTGGAACTTTTTGGGAAAGGCGAAGAGCACTCACATTAGTAAATGGGTTGGGATAAAAGAAATGAGTAGATTTTTTATTTTATAAAAAATAAACAATAAAATAAACTTTTTTAAATCACAGGACATTAGTCTCCATGGGACAAATCAGTTATTCCATGGGGACAATGATAATTTCACAGCTACGCCATAAAAATCATTGATCACTGTTGTGAGATCAAAATCTGTGTCTCACACAAATCTCTTGGATTTGGTTAAAATATTATTTATCCCTTCTTATGGCAGTATCCAATTATTTAATTCTTTGATTACTTTCTTTCACTATAGCGCTCAAGCTATTTAATTATTTACAG